AGTTATGGGGTTATAGGGTTATAGGGTTATGGGATATGGGATATGGGATATGGGGGAGTTATGGGGTCATGGGAGGGGTTATGGGGTTATAGGGCGGTTATGGGGTCATAAGGTGGTTATAGGATTATAGGGTGGTTATGGGGTTATGGCGTGGTTATAGGGTTATGGGATATGGGATGGTTATGGGGTCAGTTGTGGGGTCAGTTACGGGGCCAGTTATGGGGTCCGTTATGGGGTCAGACCTTCATCCAGGGGCTGAATGCTGTAGTTGGTCACAGCGGTGTGGGAGGCATTGAAGCACAGCTCGCCTATGGGGCCACAATGGGGGAAATGTGGGGCGGTTATAGGGGAAATTATGGGGCCGGCCCCAACCCACGGGGACAGCGATGCTGGGGGGACCCCAAATCCCATATAGGACCCCCAAAACCCCATAAGCATTTGTAGGACCCCAATGGGGACCTTATGGGGGTCTTCCACCCCAAATCCCATATAGGACCCCCAAAACCCCATAAGCATTTGTAGGACCCCAGTGAGGGCCTTTATGGGGGTCCTCCACCCCAAATCCTACACAGGATCCCCAAAACCCCATAAGCGGTTGTGGGACCCCAATGGGGTCTTCCAACTCCAAATCCCATATAGGATCCCCCAAAACCCCATAAGCGTTTATAGGACCCCAATGGGGTCTTCCAACCCCAAATCCCATACAGGACCGCCCAAAACCCCATAAGCGTTTGTAGGACCCCATTGAGGACCTTATGGGGTCTTCCAACCCCAAATCCCATATAGGATCCCCCAAACCCCATAAGCGTTTGTGGGACCCCAATGGGGACCTGGATAGGAGTCCCCCACCCCAAATCCCCATAAGCGTTTATAGGACCCAATGGGGACCTTATGGGGTCCTCCATCCCATATAGGATCCCCAAAACCCCATAAGCGTTTGTAGGACCCCAGTGGGATCCTCTATGGGGTCTTCCACCCCAAACCCCATATAGGATCCCCCAAACCCCATAAACGTTTGTAGGACCCCATTGAAGACCTTATGGGAGACCCCCACCCCAAATCCCATACAGGATCCCCCAAAACCCCATAAGCGTTTGCACGATCCCAAATAAAGACCCTTCTATGGGACCGCCCCCCCCACTCACGTGACCCCGCCTCCTTCCCCCCCTCACGTGATCCCCACCGCCTTCCGTCTCTCCCAGTCACGTGATATCCCCCCCCCACTCACACGTGACGTCGCTGCATTGACTGCAATTGGCGGCGGTGGCCTGCAGGAGGTCCTCCACGCGGTCCTCCACGACGGCGGCGGCGCCAATCCCCGCCCCGACCCGAAGGAGGACTTCGTACGTCACCACGACGCTGCCCTCTC